TATCAGAGGACAGAGACACGCGCGCCGTTTTATTTCTTAACTATATCTGTATCTATATCTGTATCTGTATCTGTATCTGTATCTGTATCTGTATCTGTATCTGTATCTGTATCTGTATCTGTATCTGTATCTGTATCTGTATCTGTATCTGTATATATATCTGTTTTTAAACATAAAAGAAATATAAAACGGCGCGCGTGTCGCGGTGGGAGTTCGAAAAACACGAGAGAAGCAAGCTTAGGAACACGAGCGTAGCGAGTTCGAAAAACACGAGAGAAGCAAGCTTAGGAACACGAGCGTAGCGAGTGTTTCTCTTGCTTCTCGAGTGTTTTTCAACTCCCACCGTGTTTATATCAGAGGACAGAGACACAAGAGGCCGTTTTATATTTCTTTTATTAAATTTTTCGAGCGAAAAGAAAATTTTGCCGGTAAGCCGTGTCTCTGTCCTCTGATATAAACACGGTCATCAGCCAATCAAAGCGCGTGTTATATATCGAAAAGTTTATAAATCTGTATCTGTATCTGTATCTGTATCTGTATCTATATCTGTATCTGTATCTATATAAATCTGTATCTGTGCCGAAACGTTCGAATACAAGTAGAAAACCTAGTTACAAGTTGCGTGGCTTTTTCTTCAATTTATTCTATTTGGTATCTGTTGGTATAAATGGGCTTCTTAAGGCAGGACTAACAATATGAACGAGCTCCATTACTGCATGCAGATATATATATAAAATTATCAATAACTTGAAATTAGAAAAGTTGTCCTGCTGCAATGTCTGGTGCGCGGTACAGTGCTACTAGCAATGTTTTAGAGTCGTTGCGCTACATTTGCCCATGAGTTTATAATTTGGCTGTGCTTCATCAAGATAACAACAGACTATGCGTTTGAATGCCTTTCAATGATCCTCTATAACTCATCCAATCAAACCGCACACAAACCAATAATTCTTGGTAAATCCTTCTACAATCCTAGAGCTTTTGATAGTATAGAGAACAGCCCTCAGTTGAAAGGTGCAGCTTATTCTTGTACAATTGTACAGTCATAAGCACACGAATTCAGTATGTACAGCTGACAATCAGAATAGCCATGGTTTAACAATTGGTTCTCTCAAAGCGCAACAGAGAAATCATATTTTCGCATATTTCAGATTGCATTTATTGTCATATTGTTGACATGTCAATATTTTAGTACCCATATAAAATACAGCTCAACACAAAAGTGTCTTAATGGTTTGATATACAGCTTGTTCTATTGATTATATGAGTTTGCTATTCTAACTGCGGAGCCTCAAATAAGATTGAAATGCGCGCGAAAACGTTGGTGATCAGTACACTAACTAAAGTGTAATACAAACTCATTAAAAGTCGATTGAAGTGGTTCTTGTTTGATGCAATTATTATCTTGGAGGGGGTAATGACAATAAATACTAATGTTACCAGTGTTTGTTCTAAAGCCATTCTACAAGATCAAGGTGCCGAGAGCTTCCGTTCTCATGACATCTATGTCATGACCATATAGGATGCAAATCAATGTTGACAATGGTAAACATTTTAGTCACTACAGAGATTCTGATTTTGTGCAACTGTATGAGCCAATTGTTGCAATTTTGATTCACTAGTTACAGTTGGAAATAAAGACTTATACTTTTAATAGTGTAAATTCAATAGTTCCTCAGCTAAGCATAGTATTTATAATCTGTTAGTGTTATGAATTCAGTGCGATCATGATAGGCTAAATGAATCATCAAAACAAAAAGTGTTATATTATTCTCGATAAATTAGTCACTTCGCACTCAATCAACACTCACTCTCCATGAAGTACTTAAAGTATTTATCATCTCATAACGCACTCAAAATATAATTAAACATTAGATACTGAACTGTCTTGTAGCTTGGCGTTAGTATATTATCATAACATATTTATTATCATTATACGGCTAATTTTTATGAATATCGACTTCAAACTGTGCAATTAACATCTGACGTATCTAAATAATAAACAACCATTGTCGATAACAATGATGTCGCAGTTGTTCGAGCATACAGTCACGTATCGTCAAACTATCACCCCTTTCGAACCCCTTGTAACAGTGTAATTACCTCATTGAAGTATACTCTGATGCAATACTTTACCGTAGTCAAAGCGTGCACTTATTGAAACTACATATAACATGAGTACATAAGCTCAGAAATGATTTTCCAAAAGCCAACAGTCAGGTGTTCAGTCAATAAATGAATTCATTTGTTTCCAAACTTGTCATTTTGTTTACATCGTTCAAGATTTTGTACATTTTTCAGAAACATTTGGTAATATGAACCAGTTATAATAAAAGGAAATCAAATTGAAGCAGGCTGCATTCATAGGAAACCGCAGTTTTTGTTCTCATATTGGAAGATATTGGAATGTAATTGTGTCTTCGTTGTGGTTAAATTTGTTACCTTTGGACCACCAAAGTTGACCGTGCAGAAAAGTTGATTAAACTTAATTTCCGACAGCTTGCGACTTATCAAAAGTTTTTATGATCATCAAATCCAGAAAGAAATGGCATTAAATAGTGTGATATTTCCTATAAGTACAAATCAAGTTCTCAAGCATTTTTGTTCACACAAATCAGCCTTGCAATATAGTAGTTTTGGTTCACATAAAACTGTTATTCATATATCCGGTCCATGAATTGCTGCATCATGTTTCTTAGTCATGATTTTGTAATTACAAAGTCCTTTAAAGAGAATTCCTGATATAACAGGAACTGTGTGGTTTTCGTGTGCTTCGACATGATTTTTCTCATCCTCAAACTAATCCCATTCAATGCTGTCACTGACGAGCAACCAATTAACAATAGAATGTAATTGGCTTCCTAATTGATACTAGTTGAAACTAAAAGCACCCATACCTTATCTTACAACATAATCATAATCATAATCATAATCATGGGAACTGAAAACTTTAGAACGCATTACGACTCATCCGAAAGTGCAGCGTAAAATACTAGCTTCTTCGAATCAAAGTAAAAGATGGCACTAGTGTTTGCCTCATTGAATATCAGTGAAAAAGTGGCTGTAGTTTCTTCCTTTTATGCTATGAGAATCATTGATTATTATTTAAATGCTGAAACTTTACTCTTTGATGATATTAAGACATCAGAATTAACTGCTGCATCACTTAAAGCTTAAGAGACAATGTTTCCAGTTTACCTCTCATTGGATGTCATCTCATCCATATCATGCATTTGATCATCCATTACCATGTTCAAATTCCTAGTTTTCCTTTGGTTAGACTCCACACTTCTTTGGTTTTCTTTGTGGATACTTTCGTCTTCATCAGCTTCATCGATTGTGTCAAAATCCTCAGTTTTCCTATCAACGCACCTAGACATTAAAAATATCTATGAAACGAGGTCTCAATAGACATTCAATATATTGGTAGTGATTTGTATCCACTGAAGGATGTCTTGTGATGGTCCTTTTGATGAAACTGATTGTTATGCTATGGTTAAATACAATAACAATCTTTTATGTCTATGAAAACAAACTCTGACGCACGTACTGACTACGGGATTTGTTGGTCTTACTAAATTAACATTTCATAAGACACAATGGGAGAGATTAGACGATGTTATGGGTACATGTTTTCTGAATATATTTTGGTTCAGACTTCATGGATTTATTTTAGAAATAAATACTATGAAGTTTTTTTTTCGCTTACCTAATTCGCCAACATGATATCACACTGGTTATACAATGACTAAATGTCATTTTTAAGTCTAGAAGTTACGGCATGGTCGTTTGTAATAGGTACAAGTAGTAATTGTTGACAGACCGTACGTACTTTCTCTACATCCCACGCACTGCAACTTGTGGCTCGGTCAACTGGTAAACTTTTAATACAAAGGATTAACTGCTGACAGTTCAGAGACGTGTAGACCTATATGGAAACTGGAAATAAAAAAAAATGAAAAGAAGGGAGAATTTACTGCGAGAACCATGAAGAGACAAAACAGTATATTGTTTATATGAAACAACAATAAATTTACCTTTTTTCTTTGTCAAAGAATGAAACAAGGAAACCCTTTTGGAACAATAGTTTTAACTATTGAAACTTAAAAGAGAAGAATGGGTTCCCTGTGGTGTACAAATACAAGTTTTGGTCACCCTGTGGTAGGAATCACACGTCGCTTATTACATGTAAATTTCGGTATTTAATCAAAATTATTGCAAAAGGAAGAAAGGAAAAGAAATACAGCAAACATTCAAGAACATTTGAATTACATTTTTATTTTATAAATTAAACACAAAATAAAACAACTTAGATAATTTCAATCATATAAGAATATATATTTTCATTCCAATTTTTCATGATATCAGAAAATAGTTTATCTCTTTGTCGTAAAAAAAAGAAAATAGATTAGTTCGAATAAAAAGAAAAGAAAAAAAGAAAAGAAAGACTGCGACGAGGATGGGATTCGAACCCACGCGGGCAGAGCCCATTGGATTAGCAGTCCAACGCCTTAACCACTCGGCCACCTCGTCGTGTTGGAATGAAGATGTGAATTATTGGTATATGAATCAACTGTAAACAATTCAGTTATGTACATCATTTATCCCGGAAAATCTGCGCTCTTGAAATTCATAGAAACTCATACATACAATACGCAATATATGCGTATCTGAACAGTTCCATTTTTGCTTGTTTACATTTTTTACGCATCAATACGCACAAACTTATTATATTAAAATGCATAGTCTGATATTATTTTGTTTTCAATAGAAGCATTTTCTTTTTGAGGACAAATATAAATATATATAAAGTGTGTCTGGTTCAATTTTTTAATGCAAATATTAAAATATTAAAGTTACATCATTTATCATAGAAGTGATCGACTTGGTTCTATCTACATGTTGTGGATTTAAATTAAATTTCGTGCAATATAAAAATCATAAATCTAACTAATAGGCACCACAAGTGAAAAACAACCCATAGCTTCGACCCATTTTCTTTATAGTGTCTGGCATTGGTGTCTGGAAAGTTTTGTCATAGCTACCAGGACCAGGCGTTTTCTGTAAAAAAAAATGATAGATTTTCAATTAACCATACGATTTTGATTGAAATGCAATGCAAGTCAGCGCAATGCAATGCAAGTCAGTGTCAGCTCATCAAAGTATCCCTTACCAGTACATGGGGCTGTTGAAACCTTGGAGTTTTTGACTTAAATGATGAAGTAACGTTAGGTCCTTTGGGTAGTATAGGATCTTTGGACAGATTGTACTGCCCTGGTGGAGGACCCTCTCTCTACAAAATAATAATTATACATACATTTAATTGGCCAGTCAGCTACCAGGAAAATCCAACAACACCATTGACATAGGAAATCTAACAACTGTATAGCACAGGAAGCCCAACTTGTACTTACAGGCTTGAAGTAAACGGTTGGGAATCTGTGGACTTGTGACTTGAATGCTGGATGCCTGAAGATAAGATGTAATTTACCCTTAATAGGTCACATAATACATATACATTCATAAATGATTTGTTTAAACTTACTTTGATGACAGTTTTGGCACATACTGATATCCGGCATCATAGGTACAGGGGCTCACTTGACTGGTCAGGTATTCCTAATAATCATTAGAATTTATTTAACGTCAATGTATTGATATTTGATGCAGAGAAATGGATTAACATAGAAAAAAGAGAAAAGAAGCATAATCCATCCTAAGAAGCATAATGGAGGCCAGCGAAACTGGGAAAGTTTGAAGATACTGGTCCCTTCCCAAAAGCCCCTGGGTTTTCCAGGGAAGGACATAATCAGATCACTTCAAATTCAGATCTAATTTACCTTATCTATATATCCCACTATAGCAGTAGGTACATGGTATCTATCGCACGCTTTAAAACTATAAGTTATCTTCTTTTTGTTCATTTTATCAACTTCTGTTTTATGTTTATACAGCCCTGGCATGAGTGTTGAACCAGTTCTAGAGAGATCAGCATTTTTTCTTCTCCCAGCATTTTTGAAACCATATGTTGATCTGATGGGCTTTTTATTCATGTCATCAACAAAATCTTTGATTTCATAAGTACCAGGAACAGGTGTGTCCTAAAAAAACATTTATAAACTATGAATAAATATTATTATTATGTGGCAGCTGAGAATTCAAACTTGTATGTTATGTCCTTGGTAACGGTGTGTTAATGAGGCACAAATCACTAAAACCTGAACAATGGAGACACAACATCCTTAAAAACAAACGATATGCTACCCAAAATGGAAGACACAGTTTATCTCTAATTATAGACAGGAAGAGTCTAACTATCCCTTCATTACAAACTGTAAGCAATGGCCATCTTAAGATATTTATACAACAACTACACTTATAAGTGAATACCAATGCAAACATTCTTTCACATAGCATGACAACTTATAACATAATGAATGCATTAAAGTAGTTTATAAATAACTTAAACAATAATTTGCATAATCGACGATAAAATAAGCCACATTATACATCGACATTACCTTAAGCGTAGATCTCCACCAGTCTTCCCTATCTGTAATCGGTTCTTCATAATTATAGGGACTCTTGCTCCTTCTCCCAGACTTAAATGAATTAAAGAGATTTAAGTTTACAATGAAATTATTTCGAGGTTGGCGGAACCGGAATGCCAGGCTCGCTACACAAATTTGTGCGCAACTTGTGCTCTCACAAATACAACTACCTACATATTGTAAAGTTGATGTTGGTCTTCTTGGATAACCTGGAGCTGTATCTGGTTTAGATTTCAAGTCGTGCATGGGGCTATTATACGTTCCTGTGCTCGCCATGCTTTCTTTTGACTTCCAATGTTGACATCTTCCAGGCGTCTGTGCGTAATTTCCATAGTAACACGATAGGCCGAGGATCGCACGGAATTGAAATCGGAAGCCCGAAAATCCTCCGAACTTTTTCCGATCAGAATGACTAGAACGAGAGAAGTAGAAGTCTGATTTTTCTACAGGATTTTCTGGCTTCAAACGTTCTTTTAAACCCGATAAAGTTGTTTTTGATCAGTAAATTAAGCGGAGGCGTTTAGTAAATGCCAACAACTTTTCATTCAGACATGAAAAATCCACTGCAAAATGCTGTTGATGAAAGGAGCAAAAAGCTCGAGATGGAGTTCATTTCTGAGCACAAAATGGACCACAATTTTAATGCATTACTAGTTGGAAAGCCTTTCAGGTTTGTTTTAGGTTATACTTGAAATTATTCTTAATATACACGACAATTTCAGTTCTTGAGTTTCTGAGACGAGAGGACGAGTTTAATCCACAGGGAACCCATAATTTATAAAAGTATGTTTAATTTTAGGTACACTGATCTTTGTGTGATAACTGGAGGCGATGATGGCACGATTAGAGTTTTCACAACCAAAAATAATCTGAGAAACTGGAACTTAGAGGTAAACTATTAACAGTCGTTCACAAACACTTTATTCAAAGAAGCTGTGAAGAAAACTTTTCAATAATGTATTATATTATAGACTACATTTTTTAACATATTGTAACCCATTTGGCAATACTTTCTATACACAGGAAATTTCCAAGCTTGAAAGTAAAGGTGGTCCAGTTCAGTGTCTACATTTACACAATGTGACTAAATTTGGGTCTTGTGATATGATAGTTGGTGACTCAAAGGGCACACTAACTATCTTTAGTAATGAACAGATATTAAACAGAAGAATTCTGTCACAAGATTGCATAATAGCACTGACTGTGGATGTTGATCATGGTATGTAGTGAATGATAAAGGACAGACAGCAGCTAAAAACCTTGTATAGCGACCTCATCACTACGAGAGTTTTGTATACACCTAATTGAAGAAACGTTGTTGGGTCCAAAAAGGTCAAATCATAGAAGCTAAGACTGAAAGGGTACTTGGGAAGACAGACAATCTGGCTAATTTCATAAAAAAACAGCTCTCCAGCATAAAATATTAACATGCTGATTAATCTTACTAGCTCTATTTGCTTAGTGTACACCGTATATGCAAATGTAATCCCAATTTAGTGGTACTCAAAATCCCTTTCGGTCTTAGCTTCTATGATGTGACCTTTTCGAACACGACTACGTTTTTTCAATTAGGTGTATGTCATAGAAAAAGGCAAAATCCAGCAAACAAACTTCAACATTTCTAGGTCACTAAATACAAGGATTTTTGCTCAGCTGATGAAAACATAAACTGTTTAACTGTACTTTGAAGCTTAAAAATACAGAAGATAAGAAAGGAAATGGATAAAAAAGAAAGAAACTAGAGAAAGAAAAATGGAAGATTCAACAACTTTTGCACAAGTCTGATAAGCACATAATATGATATTATCTTCGTGTTGGTCAGAATTTTTTTTTTACCAAGTCACTGATAAGGATCTTTAGTGGTGTTAGTATTAACATTGTTGTTTATGATTTCAGCTGGTAATTTAGCTATTGTAGTGGGTGATGGTGAAGGGGGAGTTACTGCTGTATCACCTTATGGCAGCCTCTGGAAAATAAGACTGCAAGATGCAAGGAAGCAGATGTACAAGGTACATTTTTTCTTGAAAACGTAAAAACTAAAAATACAATATAGCCACAAAAATATAAGCAAATTACTGACTCATTCCCAGTCATCTCTTGCGCTTTTCTAGTGTCTTTCCTCCTTCTTTTGATGCCTTTTGTGAGTGATAGACGAGAGAACAACCTGGGATGAGACAACAAATTAACATTTCTCTATTTTATGTTGATTAGGAAATTGGTCAACGTGTATCAGTAAAATGCATGCTTTCTGTGCAATTACCAGCAGCCAATGGGCTTCCTGTCAGCTATATCATAGTATCAGATACTTGCAAAAATATCTTCATCCTTCAAAATGGAATGGTTGTCCACACACTGCACATGACATCAGTGGTGACTGCAATGACTTCTGGGTATTTTATTCCCATCATGCCTCCACCTTTTTCTCCAACTCAGTCATTCAGTAGTCCCAGATCTCTACAGCCTGCCCGTCAATCACAGGTTGCCTTAGGAACAGAAGAAGGAAGTATATTTGTGTTGAGTAACTTTCAGTTGCAGCCGTATGCTAGTGTCCGCCTGCCTATAACGAACCTTCTGTCATTTCCAAACAATGGTTGTCCAGAAAAGACTGACTTTTTATTGTGTTCTGGTCACTTTAACGCACTTATGGTGTTTGACCAACAAGAGATTGTGCATCGTCTGGAAACAAAGGAATGGATTCATACAGTTTCATGTAGCTATGACGATAAACATGTTGTTTTAGGGATGTTGGACAATACAATATCGATATATAGATTGGCTTCAATTTAGGAAATGAATCACGGCTACAGGTTTTAAAAAACGTGTAAATAAATTGACTTTTAATAGTGAACAGCAGAACCATCCTAATGGGTTTCTGTTAAAAGTAACCATTAAAATTAAATGTCAAATATTGGTGGTGTTATAGTTATCGCTTATAGTTGTGTATTCTGAAGTAAAAATGGTGGGAACTCGCGGTAAACTAAGTACAGCACAAAGGGCAGCAATGATATATTTAATGGCTATATAAACTGAGGTGTTCCTATGGCCGCGCCTCTTGTTTTAGTGTCTATGGCAACGAACTTAATTCGTAACGGTTGGTGTCACGATAAATTGACTCCCAGTAAAAGCAACATCTTGTGGCTTACCATTGGTTAAACAACATTCATTTGTCTAGACCTGAAGCGAAATTTGCTCACAGTCCGACTGAGTAGAAAATCGCCACTCAATCAACCAAACAAAAACACTTCACTTTTTACTCTTATTCATTTACTTAAAAAAAAAATTCACACTAAAGACCTAAAGTAAGATAATTTCTTGAAAAAGTCTATATCGTTTTGTCAAAGTAGTTTTTTCAAATCTAGTTTATTATGTCTGCGTGTAGACATTACTTTAGCTTGATTTTTYTCAAAACATGTTTTCAGCATACTTGAAGTATTCTCCTATTGAGCTCCATTCCATCAGTACAAATCAGAATAACAATGAGAATCAACCATACTCGTGATGTGATTGGCTAAAAGCTTTCTCTGGTTATTCTTTGCGTTGCTTGGGAAGTCCACAAGTGATTTGCCAGAGCGATATGTCTATCAAGCCAGATGCCATTGATGATCTTTAGGACGGCATCTGGTCGAAATGGAGGAAAAAATGAACCAGGGAAATCTTGTTTGAGGTATAGTTTTTTTTCTGTTCAAGTCTTTGCTTGGGGGCGAAGTTCTTTTTGTGCAAAAGTGAAGCCTAACTTATTATCAGAACACAATGCGCCCTATACGACTGCTTGAATTACTAAGACTGTACTGTTATTTGCACGGAGTAAAAGGAGGAGTAACTTTCCAAGTAAATATAATTCATAACGGCATAACACGATCATAAACTTTACAAAAAATAGTCACTTAAACGACAATGATGAAACTGTGATGCTTTACCGCAATACCACATCAATTTGACTTTATGCAAAAAAAACTAACAACTTAGCCTATAGATATTGTATAAAAGTACTCGTTTGGTTAGTGGAACTGATATTATGATTATGTTATAAGCTTGATAGAAACTGACAGGGCAATATTTGTTTTACATTACGCCGCACTCGGAAAAATATCCGCGCAAATTGTGGMTCAGCGCTCTTTTACACATGCTAACAAGATTAGCATTGAATTAGAGCATATAATACAAGTTGAATTTGTGTTTTTTGAACATTTCTTTTTAGGCTTTCTATAAAAATTCTCATGTTGTTGACAGAAATATTATTTTTTGCAGCGGAAAGCCTAAAAATAATAATACAAAGCTGGCTTCTATAAATAGTTSTGGCTTGCTCCAGTTCAATGTCGTATTTAAAAATAATCAGTTTTTTCATTATAYGCAGTGCAATATTCATTACAAATTATAGTGTCTATAACCTAAAGCAAAATAAATCAACTTTGATTACTTTCTCGGTTAGCTTTGCAGTCGGGATTTTAGTAAAATTGTCTTGTTCTAGTGTTATACATAATTGATCATTTCCACATTGTCATGGGATGTTTTGAACAAAGCTTAGATGTACTCTGAGATTACCAGCTGCAATTATCAAGGCAAAAGTCAAAATACTCTTCGTTTTTACACTATATTCGCCTTTTTATAAGRCTAGACCTAGTATTGATACATTAGCATAAGCATTCTCTTCCAATGATATTTATAAGGCACGACCGTCTCCTGCACTGCCACATCAGGTATACCGTGTCCTACGCCGTATGTTCTTTGTTTTCCATACAAAAATAATGTTTCATTGTAAAAAGACGTAAATTTTAATTTTTGCTTAAACGTTCAATCTCTCATGTGTCAAAGTCATTACTTGTATATGTGATGATTACGATTATAGAGTAATATGCTTTATATTCGACACATTTGGGATTCAATATTTGGTCTCAGGTACTGGCTATAGTCCAACTGTGCTGGGAGGGTTAGCTGCTGTAATCTTGCACATGAACTCATTTCAACCATTAACTATAATTGACTTCTTTTATCTTTGAATTACGGCATTGTAAGCATATCAATTGTAAAGTGAATTCCTGTTTGATTTCAAGATAATATCACCTGATATGCGTACTAAGGAATTAAAACTGTACTTTGAAGTTTTACACAGTATATTTGCTTGGACCCATTAAATTTTTTTAGTCAGTATAAATTTTTCTTCCATTCSGTTCCAATTTTTCTTGGCAAAACTATGGTTTTTCAGTCAAAAACTACATATAGATATAATCAAGTGAGTCTCAATTAAAGCAAGCTTTGATTACTACTATCTCAACTGAGACAACTGTACCAATATGCATCAGTGATGGCGATCTGCAAGTTTGCGGCGTTTTTTTTACGGTTTTCGTCACGTATTCGCGCCAGAATGAAAAACGTATTTGCGCGTTTTGCACGATTTTCAGTGCGCTACTTGCCCCACGACATAAATTGGCCCAGATATAAAAACGGCTTCACTGGACAAAATTCTCCGGTTATCTGTGTCAATCACTAGATGTTTCCACAATAGAACACACTAGAAGTGATTCAAAATGTAGTCGATAAGCGTTTAGATGGATTTGATAACGTGAAAGGCTTGATGGGAATATGTTAATCATAATCATTAGTCTAAAGGTAATAATACTCCATGTACTGGTACAACTCGGTTTACACTCAATCGATTGGCAACGATAGCCTTCAAAGACAACTGCAAGACGTTCTAGCTTTTATCCTTCGGAGGGCTACTCCCACGCCCTCTGTCGCCGCCCCCCACCCACATCCCCGGTAACGTTGACATGTATACGGCTCATTAGCCAACGAACAATTACTTATCCGCCGCAAACGTTTTCCGACTCAATCTTTTTCTATCAAAATGGGCTTAACTAAGTCACTAATAAATTACAACTTACAATTTGCGTCAACATTTTTCCTATACGACCTACTAAACCTTGAATAATTTAATTTTTAAAGTACGAAGTTAATGGTTTTGATTTGAGGTCACGGCAAACAACGCAACCTAAGCCAAGCGGCCTTGCTGACTTTACTTTTTTACTGCGCAAACTGATGCGACCAGTGACTGCAATAGCTCGAGTGTTATCTCTGTATAGTAACGAAAACTCTTGTATTTTCCAGACAACTATAGTATTGTATGTGATAGTCTGAATATTCACCATGGTTTACAAAACCGGTAAGTAGACTAGCATTCAAGCTTATGCACCCGTATACCTTGAAATCAGGGTCCTCTCTCATTTTGTGATTATATAATGTGACGTATTCGGTGCGATGCACCATGGGATTGTATAAAGTACTGAGTGAATCCACGTTATTGTCAAGCTGTTTTGTGAACAGAAACAACATTGTGTATTTCTGAATGTGATCGAGTTTACTTTAATCTTTCTATAAACTTTCTTTACGTTAGGAATTTATTTATTTATTATTCGTGAATAAAGAGTTRTCATAAATCRTGGCACGGTTTTCTTGAGAAGTTTTCCACCTCAATAAGTATTTGGCCAAAAAGCACAGAATCTGACACCGTTGATTTTTCAGTGTCTAATTAAAGTTCTAGTTAATTTTAGACCTTGCCCCCCTCTTTAATCACATAAAATCTGATTTCGACCCCTCCCCCTCCCGCTGGATTCTCAACCCCCCTCCTGAGACGACAATAATTTTGCGTATAGAAACGTACGTATATTCGCTATTTTGCCCGATATTTTTATCAATGCCATGATGAACATCGCCAAAACAATCATGATATCACAAGGAGAAAAAGGACTATTAGTGCTGTTGATACAGTTGACAAACTGCTTTCTTATCATTGTTAATAGGACAGTTGCATGTTGACGTCATATCGTCTACAAGATTGCTATGCCCTTTTTCAATGGTGATACGCACTCAAATCCAAATAAGGTTGAAAATCCGGCAAAGAATAATAAAATGTCTTATATTATTGATAATAGTTCACCAATCATAGGGACCATTGAAGTAGACTTAATTGATAATATTAGCAACAACACCTAAGAAATGCGCCCCCCGTAGCTCCCTAACAATGCTTTTGAAAAACAAAAAAGGAAAAAAAAAAGAATGAAAAGGACGTTGTTTGTAAAATATATGCTCTACATAAATCCATATATTATGAATAAGCCGTTCAGCATATGAATAGTGGCTGATGAACTACGATTTTGACTGAATGAGTGATCATAGGATATAAAAATAGACTAGAATTAAAAAAACCGTTTGAACGAATGAACTACAGACTGGCTGTTCGGTTAGGACTCAATTATCTTTGGATGGTTTAAGGCAATAAATCCGCCAATGAAAGCATTATCTCAGATCATGAAGAATATGATCTTATTAATCGATCCAGTTTGGTAAAATGAAACTCATCAACAATCTGATTGTTCAAAAGTGTTCTTAATTGCTGTGCCGAAAAAACATCCAATTCAATTTCCCTTCATTTCTTTCGCGGTTGTTTGTTTTACGGCAAAGACATTCAGTATCATACCGAGTATCACTTTTTCCTTCATTTTCACTGAATTGATATTCTTCAAATCAGTATAGACACTTGACATATACATAGACAACATGTAGAAAATATAGCCATCACAGTTAAACGGTTTAACCACTTTTCACATCTAGTTCTCCAGCCTTGTTTATATACCACGTAAAGAACATCGTCAACAACATATACATCATATTACATAGCAGCTTTTAATCATTATGAACAGGATGAAAGGGAGCGGAAATATTGCAAATTAAATAATCAAATGAAAAATGAAGACAATTTTTAGATAACAAGTTTCCATTTAATTTTCTCAGCGGTTGTACTACACCAGTAATTGATCATTCAAATCAACAAAAGACAACATTCATTATGGAATCGAACTGTTATTGGCCTTTTCATTCATGCGAAGCAAGAAACACAAACAGACTTTTTTTTCTTTTTTCTGGTGGAAACGAGCTTTATTCAATACAATTGATAATCAAGTCAAGAAATAATATCTTGTGTACGTAGGACATATGCCCTGAACGTGGAACAATGACCTTAAAGTGCTGTATTGTCCGTTTATGTCCGGCTTTTTGAAAGTATTGATCACTGAGAACAGTAGAAAAGAACATATGGCGAATTCACACTGCAGCTTGCAAATATCATGTATAAAACGTAGCGAAAACTACTATTACCTGAACAGCAAGACGATGTTAAGTCAGTATATATTTTCTAAGTTTAAAATAAAGTTAAAAACTTCTGTGTGTTATTTCTATTTGTGGTATAATATTTTCTCGCCGAATAATACTTAGTCACGGTTGTCAAAAAAAACGTCTGAACTTCGATGAGTGTCCTCTTGTTCTAAGCCAATTGCATTGTTCTCTCGAAAGCGACGTCTCGCTTTAACGGATAGCTGAATTTCATGGCAACATATTACAGAGAGCACCWTTCACAACAGTTCTCTTTGCCAAAATGTCAAAGTTTTCAAGTTTATGGCGAAAAATGATTTCCTGAAAACACGCGCGTCCGCCATTATTTTTTTCGCGGGAGAAGTTCTGTGTTTGTGTAAAGAGCACGCGCCTTTGTAACCAACCACCTGGTTCTGTTTTGATCGAGTGATCGCGGGGTAGAAATACATTATTCATAAACCTAGCGATCAAAGAACTCATGACAAGGTCTTAATGCACACATACAAACTCTTCGTACGGGCGTGAATTCCACCAATTCAACTTCCAGGGAACCCGAAGTGCCAGCCATCATGGGCCGTACGTATGTATTCGATATGATTTTCTTTTAACAGGATTTTCTAATGTTTTCCTCTTGTATTTCAGTCCCTATACCGGCCATAGTTTTTATGGCAGTCATCGGCGGATGTTGTCTTCTTCTTTTGATTTTATACCAGTGTCTAAAAGCTGGCTTGTTCTTTAAAACTGAACCTCCAGAACGACCGAACGAGAAAGATTACGGTGAATTAGGAGGGGAGCCGTACGGTACTGAAACAGATGATGATTATTTGGGTCGGTCGTCCAAAGGAACAAGTCGAAGGAGTAGCTTTAACACAAGTGGCAGCAAGTCGGATGGCGAGTTGGCTTTAGGCGAAAGCGCCTCAGTTTGTGGTTATGGGAGATATTCAGATTCGGATTACAGTCCCGGCGCCCAGCGCGCTATTTCAGCTTATGGAGAGGCAGTGGATGGTCGAGACGAACTTATTTCTAACGCTGGTCGTATTCAAGTTTCTGCTAGTTATGCCCCAACATCTGAAAAACTTACTGTCAATATCATAAGAGCCGAAGATGTTCCCACGAAACAGCGAGGGGGTGCATCTACCGTACAAGTGCATATAATTTTGCTTCCTGCTAAAAAGCAGCGCTTCAAAACCAAAGTGAAGCCGGCAACCAGTCCTAATTTTCAAGAGACCTTCACATTTACTCGTGTGCAAGAGAGTGAGGTCCATGATTGCTGTTTAAGAGTAAGACTTTATGCACACGAGCGCATTGGGAAAGACAAACTGTTAGGAGAAACGAATATTGTTTTACCGGAGTTTGATTTGGATGGCGTTGGAGCTACACTATGGCGTACTTTAACACCCGGCAATGCGATTGGGGTAAGTGATTTTAAGTCGAGCAGGGTAGCTTATAGGTTGAAGTACACTAAAAAACAGTTAGCAAAATTATTTACCAGCAACAACACTGCCATTTTAGGGGGTGTTGGTTTAATCTAACATACTACACAAGGTGGTTAACTAGCCGAGAACATTCCAATGTAAGATCAGCGGTGAATTTGAATATCCCTTGATTGTATTTCATTCCATGCTCGAAAGATTCCAATGTACTATTCATTACAGCTTTTGTGTCTTCACACGAATATTTGAATGTTGATAAACGAAGTCAAGTCAATTTTTTTAGCGTCCAATTGCCATAGAACAGCTAATGAATAGTTTGTTGTTATTTGAGGCTTGAATTATTGAAAATTCTGGCGAAAAAGTCGAAAAATCAGCAAGACATGRGATTAATTCASAAGCAAGATTATGCTAATGTAAGACCGAATCAACTCAACCAGAAAAGTGATTTTCACTTAAACAAGAAAAGGGGAATTTCTCTAGGGATATGAATACAAAAAGCAGAATCAACAAAAGCAATTTTTCAAAAGGATTTTACGAAATTAGTCGGTCTAAAAACTAATTCAGATGGTTTGAGGTTCCTGAGTGTTACAATGTTTATTATGCATTCATATATTACCTGTCACAATCGACATAAGACAAACAGTAACTCATAAATCTCCATAATGCTTCGTCTTTTAACTTATGAAAAAAGAAAAGGCGCTTTTTCGCCTATTTTAGCCTTCCGAGTATWTCTTGCGCATAAACAACAACTCGTCGTCACGCGAAAAACAAATTGAACTGTAAACTTCATTTAGTGACAACTGTTCAAAGCGAATTTCAATTAAGATGGCGAGATACTGAGTTTACAAAGAGATTTATAGATGTCAATTGCTTGTTTTTACCAAAAGCAACCATATTTTTTTTCATCCCTAGCTTGTGGTTTTTACTTTAATTTTATGATCATGGATTTTTTTTTCGCTAAATACTGCGCAGAGAGCGTGGGTGTACATGGAGRGCCTTTCAATAATTTCTATGCAGGTTTCTTGATTTTAAAAGCCCTCAATTTTGAGCCCCTAAATAGTTATTTATCATTGAATTAAATTAGAAATATTGTGTTTTCATTAAGTTTTCATAACCATTAGAGTTTCCTGGGAATTTTTTATGGTGAGGCAATAATATCATTACCAAAACAGCGTAATATTCATTAGGAACTTCTCGACTGACTCCTAAAGATTGCATTAACAATTTATCAATTTATATTCTGTGTAAAAGGTTTTTTTTAGCAGCGAAGATTTACGAAAGATCTATAATTTGAAGGATAACGAATGTTAAATCGATCATTCTTGCAAGGTCTACCAACGACTCACGAGCGTCCATTTATTAAGCATTGATTGCTGTAGTTTGCTTCGATCCTTCATCTATTTCTAGTGCATGTATCAAGCAATTGTCTTCTTTTTTCCTCAATTTAAATGAGACAAATCCCATGTATTCTTAAGATATCACAGTTAACATATCAGTTCTCATATCATGCTTAATGGCATGTCTAAGTCGAAGGATCAGAAACTTCACCACCACGGATCACGTATAACAAAGTCGAGCCGAGTCGGAGGAAACACAATATGGAGGACGAAATTATAATATCGAGAATCGAGAAGAAYTGATCGATATCGCGCATATAGAAGTTGATTTCGATTGAAAAAAATACATATCAGTTAATTGGCTTTAAAAAAATCGTAAGGGTGGTTATAATACTGCACATAAGAAAATAGTCTATTATGAGATCGTAAAAACAAGTCAGAGGCAACTATTCATAACGTTTCATTTAATTAAATGGTGTTGTGATATATAGCTATAATTCATACTTTTTATTCGGTATTTAAGTACAAGATTCGATGAATGCAACAGAAATAATATCATGCTTCATAATAAAAAGGACAACGTTCAATTAGGACAACTATGAAAATTTTTTGCGGCATTAACCAGCAATGTTGCAGACTCCTTTGTAAAAACAGACCTTGACCTATCAAGTGATCATCTTAGACCTTACCCCCCCCTCCCCCTTAATGAAATGTTTGATCCCACTGAGGAGAACCTAGAGACATTACATTATAAGAGAATAAAAAAGTCTTGATGATGCGAAAACTGAACATGTCAAATACACGGAGGGGAAGGGAAGGGAAGACATTCAGTCAAGACACTAATGAATGATTAACCTTTTCTTTTTGAACGTTGATTAAGGATTGACACACACAGAGAATAGATCATATATYATCAGGGTTGTTTGACTTCAATAATGAACAAGATAGCAAGAAGCCATTCTTTATTGATAGAATAGAGCTTTCGCGTCTAATGCATTTTACATTGAGCTTTAAAAGTAAGCYTGATGCCTAAAAGCGCTGCGAATTCCTTGTTCTAAGTCACAAAATTGGAACCTCGTTTTGAGAAGTAATATTCTAGAGGGACTGGGCTTTCTAATYAGTAACCACACAAGATGGCGGGCAGCATGACTATTTTCGCTGCTAAAATGGAATTGTACTGAGAATGTCTGTCAAATTGGTTGTTGGAAGCTCGATGCGAGCGCTCTTAGAGCGCTTCTTAGCTCAATCCCATTYAAAATAACCTTTCATTCCTTTCTTCACTGTTTTTGACATATTTAGTTTGCGTAATTCCCTTTTTTGGTGTTACTTCATTTTTTTCTAAGCTTTCTACATTTCTTCCTATACTTCCATTCAATTTAGTAGTTTCTTTCTTCTCACTTACAGTCTAAAAACCAGCTCTTGTCCTCCGATCACCTAGCTAATGGGTCTTCCTTCAGTTTAATTAACTTCGTCTCGAAATTCTATTATTYATATKATTGCGAAARGTTCTGGTTTATCAATAACTCGCTACTAACCTTCCCAGAATCTGTGTACCTTGAGCTGGAAATCAGTTACAAGAACACAGTGGCAATTTTTTTAATATCTCATTAACAGACCACCAATGCACGCATTCGTTTTATACAATGATTATACCTTGAATGTTTCAATTGGATAATACTATATAGCGTTGTTGATGTTACAAGCCCAATACTGAGCTCTTTGCGTCATAATCGAAACTTATATAAAACCATAAAAAAATTTCTCGAAAAAAAAGCAACAAGCAAATCAATCATTGATAGCGTAACAACTCTGAAGAACACTTGATCAAAGAAGAACAATTGATCGACAATACCACATGAGTGTGCCGAGGACAATTGAAAACAAGGTGATGAAAGTTTGGCGACACTTTGTTTGCTTGAAGACAAGCCACAGGGTCAGTATTTATCACTTGTGAAAGGTCGGTGTGTTCACCTATGGTAGCGTATAAGTAGAGGACGGAAAGTCTRTGACGGATCACACTCGATAGCAACTTACGGTATTTGATCAGTAATARTGTTTATTTTGACATATTTCAGGCCATATTTTCAATGTTAGATCAGTTTTGTTCATTAACTTAGTGAAATGTTTTTCACCGAAGATGCATGCGACGCGTCAAGCTCTTAACAGGTCCAAAAAACCATCGAAAGTTTTCAAAACTTTTTTATACAGAGCATTTTTAAACTTGCTCCGAGGTGGCTGGTTTTTAGWCTGAACTAAGGCTTACAGGTTRTAAAATTGACKATGTTATTTCGTTGTCATATGGTTTATAGTAATTTAGAAGTACATCACGTTTGAACCAAACCTTCGTTAAATATTCATAACCTCCAACCCTACCAAGCTCAAACTTCGACAGTGAATTTGTTTGTCTACCATAAAGATTATTTGGTTCAATAAATGGATATAAGAAAAATTGAAAGATGAAAGATGAGCTTTTGCTTGTTTCGTTTTTTACCTTTTTAAAGCCGATACCAACACCTTMAATAAATGAAAGTTTTGGCTATAATTCATGTYAAATAGGTTTCAAGGCAAGGTGTTAGGATCTGCTATTGGCGTTCTAGTTGAATCAGMATTGCCAATTAGCCTCTATATTTGATTTCAAGTTCTGAAGAATGCGAAATGAGCTTTAAAATCTGGTCAATAACATTCCMATTTGTCTCACCGCGTCAGGACTGCGAAATCACAATTCTATGCAACTTGTTTACTATGGTTTTGTAGATGACAGATAGCGATTTCATAAAATAATCTGTTGTTCTCGGTTCATTTGCACTTCAAATTCAAATACTCGATAATATTGTGTGAATTTAATATTTATGTGGTAGTACAGGGGATCAAAAGTATGTGGTCAGGTGTTATTGCATATCTTTTAAACCACAGTACAGCTAGTGTTATTTTTCTTACACGTTATCAGACAGCAGTTCAAATGCTTAGATTCATCAAGAAATACATTCAAGGCATAATAAACAAGATAAATACGAATTAACGTGTTTTCGTGGTGTTTGYTAATTATCGTGTTGAGCTTAAATAGTTACTAGATCTTCACAGTGTGCAAAGGCTCACAAAGATACTGTTGATCTCATTGTGTATGCTGTCATAGTGTCATTTTTTGTCATTTCACTCATAGATTTTGCCATTAAAAAAGTTGTTTTTTCCTGACACCCGAAAAGCATGCTGGTAGCGCAGGACTAACGATCGTTTTTTTTTTTTTGGCAGAGTGCAGATTCTATGTACGATTTGTCTGACACGGGTAGTGTACGTAGTTTTGGTTCATACGGATCAGCGTCGTCCCTAGCAATGGCACAAAGTGGTGCTCCTGAACTCCTAGTCTCGCTTTGTTACCAGTCTCTAACTGGTAGACTTACTGTAGAAGTACTCAAAGCCAGTAATTTAAGAAATCTATCTATGCAGAGAGCTCCAGGTAAGAGACTAAACAAACWCYTTTGTGACGGAGGGGGGAGGGGAGGGYAGATAGTGGGTTGWAGAGTGGGGAGGCCAAGGAGAGGCATTCTCTTGGTTTTCGAAGCAGGGTTTCAGTGAAGCTGTCAACCGCCATTACGACGTCAATAATAGCATGAGGTCATAGCCAAAGCATGCCGCATAAGCTAAAGTTCTGCGCATACGTGAAAGTAAACTCGGGAACTAAAACGAATATGAAATATGAAAATATGCAATATATYTTTTTCTTGTAAATCGGATTCTATCTTAGCCGATGAGTTTCTCRTTTCCTCTATTGTCATATGCTCTTGCTCGATCTGCTCGACTTTTGTTAACTCTTGATTGTTAACCAATATAACCTACTAAGATGTGATGTTAGAGCGAAGGTGATGTCCTCAAACACTTTCATTACAACAGCCTGATAAAAATAATAATAATAACACTAACTATTATATTAAACAATCACTTGAACATAAAACAGTAAAAAACGTAAGTGTAAAAAATAAAAATTAACACTAATGGTACGAGAAAAATTAAAAAAGAAAATAAACAAACTGAAATTTGGCAATTGTCAAGTCTGGAGYTGGGTCAGTGAAAACGCGCGCACGAGAGGAAGGCGCGTTCAGTTTTAGTGCGTTTGAAAGAAAAAAAATCATACAGAAAACTTATTTTGTCTTCCAAGATTTCAACTCAGTTTCAGGTGAGCAATAATACTAATATAGTCTGTGATCATATTCTGTTCTAAGTAACCACACTCCTCTTTTTCTACTCGATCCTCTGCATTTCACTCAAACCGCCCACTGACCGACAGGGTTTTGCTTGCACTTTTATTCGCTTTTTTGTTGTTGTGGTTTGACAGCATAGGAAGGAACCAGTGTGGGTGGGATAACTTGCGGTAGATTGCAATTAAGCATATTGTTTTTCTTCGATTTTCGTTTGCCTTTTGCTTTAAACAAGATCTTCAGCAACGATTAACATTTGTTTTTTCTCGCAAAGGTAATTTCTTGAGTGAAAAAAATCAATCAGATCTGATGATAAAATGTTAAGTCTTGAATCAGCTGGTGCATGCAGGCCACCCACAAAAATTCAATTATCTGGGAGTGCTGTAATTGCTTTACATCTGTTTTCTTAATTTTCATATTCTATATAACTCGAATATATWCTATTCTTAACGCTATATAGTCAATCTTCTTAAACGAAAGCAAACTGAGGTCTTGGAATTTTTCACTCTCTTCACTTAGTGGGTTATGGGAGGATTATAGTCGAGTAATCGGTGGCCACGTGATAGCCGTATAGTCGCCGCAAATCAGAAAAAGATGGCGGAAAAGTCAGGAAGTCTGTCAATAATTTTCCATCTGTGTTTCAAAAACAACCATTTTTATGTAATGACACTTATGGATGAGAGGTGAAAGACGCCTAGTTTTGAATGGCTGGAGTAAATAATTACTCATTTTCATTTATTAACTTCTTCACTAACTGAACGCAGTTTCTCTGCATTTTCTCTTATGTTCATTGCACTAATCTTAGCTAATATTTGACTTGCACATCTAGTAATGTATCTGAATGAATTTCAACAGCGACACTTAGGCACAARCCTTCCTGCACGAATGCTAACTACGCTTAGCTATATAACATCACCAAACTTATCCCGCATGTTCTTGTTAGATCATAAATATATTTTAAGCACGTAATAATGCACTTTCTACTGATAACATAATATTTCTTGTCACATTCTGCTAACAGATACATATGTCAAAGTGACGCTAGTCGCGCCATCAGGGAAAGAAGCGGCTAAAAGCAAAACAACCATTCGAAAAAGCATGGCTGATCCCGAGTATAACGAGAGCTTTGTGTACGAGATCTCAGAGAATGATCTCCCAGAGACTACTCTTATGTTCTCCGTTATTGCTATATCCAAGGCTAGAAAGAAAAAGGAAGTAATTGGATGGTTTGCRTTAGGTAGTCGTCCCAGCGGAGAAGAAGAAAGTAGACAATGGAACGATATGATTCAACAAAAAGAGCAAAAAATTAGTCAGTGGCATACTCTTGCAGACGCTTAAACTGTTTACTACGTCCTTCTAATAACCCTACACTGAACTGTACTTATATATGGAATCGAATCGTCTTATGTTTATCACTTAAGAAAAGAATCCTGGGATACGAGCACGTGATTGAGCGCGCGAAATCGATAAGAGCACGCGCGCGTCATGCGAAAAAGCGCGCCAAAAATTGATATGGCGCAATATCTTTTCTTCAATGATGTACAAAAGACCTTTCTACGTCATAACTGATAGCGGATCGCCACAAATGTCTTTGAATACATACGAGCTTAAGTGATTTTAACCATTCTTTTTATATAAAATTAAATTTAAAAATAATCTTATAAGCTAAACTAAGAATTTGATTAGTGGTAAACGAATTGACTTCGCCTTGGCTCCAAAATGGTTCGAGTTGACTCCAACCATCTTCATATTATTATTGCCTACTTATACAATGGTATTGATGAGCACGGGAAAACGAATAAAATGTACTAAATGTACTTTGCTTATACTGACAAGTTTGAATGTTGSGTGTTCAAATAAATCGTCACTTCCTCTAAATAAACGGGGAGTACAAAAGATGGTAATCGTTTTCTTCACATAAGTCAGAGCGTTTCATTACAAATTCATAGCTAGCCAGTTTCTTTTGCAGAGGAAAAACTATATTAAATCAAATGGGTTTGCTATAAGGATAACTTAAGCATTGTAATATTATTACGATAATATTAATTTATATATTTTTTATCGGTTATTTTGTATATACTAAATATTGGGGATAAGCAAATGACTAGTTGGTGTGATAGCTACATAGAGCGCATTAGTGGACTATTAGACTTCAGAAGGAGATACTGATTAGGGCTTAAAAAGCTTTTTGACAACTTTTCATAAACCTAAGCAGTTTAGGTAACATAAAACTCATCCAAAAAGCTGTACATCAAATGTTAAACTCCAATAAAATACAATAAAACACTTTGAAATTTTTGATCTTTTTTTAAAATATCTTAATTCAGTCTTTCTCATAAATAAATATTTATTAACATCATGRTTAAAATAAATTGTGTAACAAAACATAATGTAATTTCCTCGCAGTCTAGGCATCCCGTCATATTAAGTTTTCTAACCAACTGATGAATCTGTCACTTTTTAAACTCTATTACTAATTTCGTCTGAGTAACAAGAATATCTTAGAAGTTAATTCTAACACTTCACACTAATATAACACAGAAGAACGAAACATGAACACTTTGACAATATCTGATGTTTTCGATGAAAATGAAATTAGTATTGTTCGACAAAAAATGGAGAAAATATTTAAATTTCAAATACCCTTGTCGATGATGTCATCAGATTGCTAGAGTTGTTCGTCATACCTACTCAAATCAAAATGTTGCAAACTGCAATGATAAAAATAGAATCAACGATTAAAAAAATCTCCATGGTAACCAAGCAACTGGCCAGGAACGTCCGCCGCTTGATTATTTAGCACCAGAACGAGGCTCTGACGTCAATGTCTTATCAGCCAATTACAATGAAGTGGTGTGTTGCCAACTCTATTAATGACGTCAAATTTGGACATGATCTCCGGGAGAAGTTCCCTGGCAACCGCATAATCTGACTCAAAATGTGAATGTCGACATTAAAGCAAATGCCCCACAGCGATTTGAGAATTATATTTTCCGAGAAAACGTTTGTTTTAATGAAATTAACCGAGAAATATCTTAAAACTCACTTAATCCGTTCATTAAAGTAGCAGTGAACTGATTGAACTCTACTTTGAAAGCAGACGCAGAAATCAAATCTGAAAGGGAATTTATATCTGTCATCTTAAATGTTTTCGAAAACAAATGACACGTTTTTATCGCAAAAGACCTTTGTCTTTAGAAAATAGATTAATTTACCATTCACCACAAAGCAGCAGGCTCCCTACTGGTTATTAAGTTTTATTAGTTTTTAACAGTGATTTTTTCCCCGTGTCATGGTAGTAGTGTGGTTTCGAGCTGTGCACACAGTATGCAAGGGCTATTTACTCGTCAATAATTAAACAGAATGACTGAACGCTAGAAACTGTGTCAATACAGAAAGAGAAAATAGTGTTATTGATCACTGCAAGTAAAACTCAAGCACTTGAAGTATTTTTCTTCATTTTTCCATGTGAGTCATCCAGGTGATAGCCTGTAGCTGAAGTGTCAAAAAAAACCTTCACAAATAAGTTGACGGACTATAAAACCCACAATCGATTGAAGCACGGAAGTTCTTTTTAAAATATAAATTAGAAATGCGATCAGTAGCAGTATTTTCGAATGAGTATCGTAAATGAACTATTTTTTTCAGTACAAAAACAAGCAAACCGCAATTTCCATACTATTTCTAAACTGAAATCACTGCATATCAATTCATAAATTGTTCATTAACAAAGCCAAGAGAGAAATAATAAAAAAAAATCCATTCAGACTTAGAACGCGGCTCGATTTCGGAGGCCAAGTCATATTACAAATGTGTTAACTGTGTTTTCCTCACTCAGTTTTCTCTTTTATTTACGTTCTCTATATTCTTATTGTTYCTCCATTCATTTGCTATGCCTACTCAGGCTTCTTTTCATTCAGTTTCCTTTCTCCTTTCTTGGTCTTTGCTCTTATTGTTGTACTGTTCGATGTTTATAGCCGACAGTGGAGGCAAAAAGGTGGAATATTTGGCTTATCTGCAAATGCAGCTATATAATGTATTTGTTTATCTACTACATTTTTAGATCTCTCTAAAAGAATATTTACCGCAATATCTCTAATCAATCTTGATGACCTGATGGATGAACGACGAAAGGGTTCTAATATATTCCTCTAAATCCAATATTACTTTTATACCGCAAAAATAACTTGCTCTTAAGATATTAATATACAGACATGGCTTTTCTATACCTCATAGGACTTAACAGCAACTAAACCGATCAGGAATGTTGTTTAAAGTTAATGTCCGTTTTTTAGGAATAATATCGTTGCTCACTTGCTTAGCAGAATATCATAAAAGTCTGATATGAGTAAATTGAAACAAATGGAAGCGAAAGGAATTCCATTCACTAACACYTATTTTCTAGTTCCATTTAGGTATTTTTGTATTGATTGTAATTTAGTGGGATATTAATGAGCAAAACAATTCGAGTAGCGGTATACTTTCTAGCATTCCAGTCGGGAATTTTAAGCGCAAATCTTATATAGATCAATCGAATTATTACGATTACAGTCCACTCAGACGSAACGATATATTTAACTTTATTGTCCGTTCCATGTGCACTTTCATCAGAATAACATCTTCCGGGTGTATTTTTCCTAGTTACTCTGACCAAAATAGAATCAGAATTTCTTTTTTAAGAATCGTCTGGCCAGCATCCGCTTGGTTTGACAGTATAAGTGATTTTTCGCATAGTTTATTAGGAAATTGACTAATGGAACTAAAAACACATACTACTTACATTGCTTTTAAAAAACATATTTGATGGTTCATTATCGAAAAAAATGATCTTTGAATATACCCGTTGATTTTCCTTAAACGGCAGCCTCGTGTCTCGCGTATCTGGCTCCTTGGTGGATGATGTTTATCTACTYTCTTCGCCCTTCGTTAAGTTTTGTTATCACTGTCACGGCCCAAATGTTATAATAATTAAAAACAAAAAATAACTAAACAAATCGCACGATAATATGCCATGCAATTGACCGAAGAAATATCTAGAATTTAACGCTACAATTTGCAAACATTCTCCTAAAAGTCTGTAAATACATAAATGTTCCCGTAACGTCTTCCACACAAAAAGTACTTTAGCTATTTATTGTGCACTACATGAGTTAGGGTTATAGAGAAAACATGAACGAGGAATTACAAATAGCACAGGCAAAGCGCACGCAAACTGCGCGTATTACGCGCGCGAGCGAGGACAACTCTAAATTTCAATGAAACTCCAAAATTAATTCCAAAATGCAAAATGCGTGGTACAATGGAAATTTTAAATTTAGTTTTTTTCCAYTGACTGACGGAAGCAGACTCATCTTGTGCTGCCGCATCGCTTACTGCGAGAGGGCGTCCCTTGTGCTATTGAAGCATAAATTGTTCATTGCTGTTGTTGTTGTTGTTTTATTTTTCTTGTTGTGTTTTTGTTTGTTTTTAATGCATCTTTTCTTCGTTCACAGATACTTATGTCAAAGTTTCCATGTTTAACTCTCTTGGTCAACAATTATCAAAGAGCAAGACGTCGATACGTCGTAGCATGTACGATCCTGAATTTAACGAAACATTTGTCTTTCAAATCATTGAATTCGAACTACCCAGTGTAAGCTTAATGTTCTCTGTCATCAACATCAAGAAAATGAGAAGAAAAGAAATTATAGGATGGTTTTCAATGGGAAAAGATAATACTGGCGAAGATGAAGAATCACACTGGAAAGAAATGACCGGAGGAAAGGGAAAACCTATCAAACGATGGCACGTTCTGAGCGCCGTAGATTATTAAACTTTAGACGGCTTCATTGAAGCACTTTAAGTGGGAGTTGGGTATGACTGGGCTGCCTGTGGCTATTGACCACAGGGTACCCGAATGTACAGCGACACGGTTATTGCTTACGTAGTTACTACTTCTATCAGAATATTTTGCGCACTTTCTCTTCTAATGTAATGAGTGCTTATTGAATAACTCAAAGGACATATTTATTTAAGCGAGAAAGAAAATGCGCAAAGCATTGTGGTATAYTGGTACTGTTGCCTTGAACTCCTAAATTAGGTTGATTTATTATATTACAAAAACTGCAAATAACTTATGGGAAATTTAATTTAATATTATATTTAATCTTTTTTTAAAGTATATATACTTTATCTCTTTAGCTAAAATAGTGTTTTTTAGGAAAAAACTAGTTTTCACGGTAAAAATTCACAGTAGATTGYACATAATAGTTAAAAACTATTTCACTTCAATTTCTGTAAACTAAACCTTGCCCAAGTTGCATGCATCTTCTCGTTTGCGGKCAGGAAAAGAAAGCAACACAAACTGAATTATAAATGAAATCGAGCATCCAAAGTGAAGGCTTATTTTGCAAAGGTAAAGAGATCTTAGCAAATGTTGAGACGTTTCTGATTTTGTCTGAAGAATGCTCACCCCATGGTGCGAGTTAGCGTTCATAAGAGCGTTTTGGTTTGGACATTACCCGCGAAACAAACCAAGAAACATACTTTTTCGCAGTTCAAGAGTGTTTTCCATAAACTAAGTTGAATGTGGGATTCAYAAAAACTGCTTTTTCTGMTGTCCAGAAAAACCTGACATATTCATAAGACTGTGCTAGTGACATTCACCACTGAATTATTATTAATACAAATTTACTTCATTCACCTGAGACATTGTACATATAGATCAAAGTAATATTAAAGAGCGTGAAATTCTAACAAGGACAAGACTTTTTATTATAAATTGAATTTTTAATGACTGAAAATTCTACCCCTCCCCTCACGGTTTCTTTTCGTGACAGTCACATATTCCAAGATGGCGGAAGGACAGCATTGCACAACTCCGAGTGCTCTTAGATGCTATGCCCTACGACTAACCCCCGGCCAAGATATCACTGAACATTTATACAAGTTTGTAGATGATAATAATTTAAAATCGGCTTTTATCWTGACATGTGTTGGAAGCGTTACTAGGGCGACTTTACGAATGGCKCACGCGACTGCAGAAAATCGAAACGAGGTAAGGAAAAATAATGGTAAATTCTCTATTTTTCCCTAGAAGTATGCCGAATATATCATTTTAAATACTCAATATCATAAAGACCAATAAAGAGCATTWTTTCTATTCTGTTTGCATGCCTGCAGTGTTCCACAGGTATCCCAAAAATAACATGCGACGTGTCAGGAAGAAATGATGCTGATCAAGATGGGACAATAGTYTCAAAACAAAATTACACATTTATGTTTCAAATTGATTTTCAGATAATTGAACTTGAAGACTGCTATGAAATAGTGTCCCTTGTTGGGACGCTATCTGGTGGGGGTCACCTTCATGTGTCGCTGTCAGATAAACAAGGCAATGTTGTCGGAGGTCATGTGATGGGAAACATGAAAGTTTTCACTACTGCAGAAGTCATCATTGGTGAATGCACTCAATTTGTTTTTGACAGACCGATCGATGACAAAACTGGTTTTGATGAACTCAGAATACAGACAAGATCGTAGTTAAGGATAAAACAAAGATTTTACTAATTGTCATTGTATTCAAAGCCAAGGTTGATTACAAAAAAGATGATTTTCCTGATTTGTTCATATTACAATATAACTCTTGTACCTTTTCTTATCAAAATGTCCCAAAAAATGAAAATACATCGGTACGAGCATTTTCAATTGCAATTTAATACTTATAAACCAACTATTCATTTGTATGACTTTAATGAAAAGAGTTCTATTTTTGCATTGTATGCTAACTGTTCCTAAAAAAGATTACCTTTAGACGTACATTAGTTTTTGTATTACAAATGATTTTATAGTGCTTCCATGGATGCTTTTGTTCAATCTTTGTTGGCAAGAGGATCCATAATAACACTCAAACCAACAGATTCAGCATTGATCTTGATCTTATAACTGTATAATAAATATACCAATAATTGAAATTATTATGTCTATTATTGGTTCAAACACAGTCTGTATGTAATTTGAATTTGCAAAAGTTTTTCTGCCTTGCTCCCAGAGTTTTTCTTTTCAAGTTTAAGTCAATTTTCTTAATGAATTTCTTTCGAAGTGTGTGGAGATTTTAAATAGATTATAACTACGTATTAGTATTATTGTCATCACCATGAATTATTATAAATTATGTGTTCACAACTTCACTCAGAGTGAAGTTGTGAACACATAAATAATAATTCATGGTGATGACAATATCTCAAAATGCAAATTCTTTATTTTACACAACATATTCAAAAATTTCTTTCTACTTACTTTGAGCCAGCAGGAATCAAAGCTACATCATTTTTCTTTAGCTGTCTGGTCGCCTCACCAACAGTCAAAGATGCCTCGCCTTCCTAGAATCACAATTATAAAAAATAAAAGAAATCATTTATAAACTGAACCTTGTGACTGATGACTGAAAAGCATGAAATGTTAACATACCATTTGCCAAAACCATGTTTCACCTTCAGAATATGCTTTCTCTTCACCTTCTTCATGTACATGTATCTACAAATGGCAGAATATTTATTGAATGAATCAATCCAGCCATCCATACATTGTTGACTAGAGTTCTAAGCTGTCACTCACAAAAACAATACATGAGTTATTTAGTTGTGCTGTCATCAAATCAAATCACCTGTCAATCAAGCTATCAATCAATAATAAGCAGGGCAATGTGTCAGTCAAAAATTATAATTTCATGGCAATGCCTACCTTCAACTCGCCTTCTGTTGAGATGGCCTTCTTACCATTTTCCTTCTTGTTATTTTTCAGCCACTAAAACATTGATATATTTTTTCAACATTAACTGACAAATTGACACTGCAAGAATATTCAAATTCAAAGTATAAAAATCCTTATGAAATAAGGAAATAATATTCTTGCATCAAAGCAAATGGAATTTTACTGGCCACTGTACCTCCTTTAAAGAAAACGGCGCCTTCAATTCAGTTTCTGTGTCAACTTCAAGTGGAGGCTTTTTCCAAATATTGTCTAAAAATAATTAAAAATGTAGATAATTGTATGAGGAAGTAGCTGATCCCATTAAAGAGTGCTCAATACACATAAAGTGTAGAGCTAGTTATATATATAATATCAAAGAGGCAAGATTTTGCTGTAACTCCGAGTTTCGTGCTACGCACTCATCAGACAGTATTTATGATGAGTGCGTAGCACGAAACTCGGAGTTACAGCAAAATCTTGCCTCTTTGATATTATATATATAAAAATGTAGATATAATAATGTATTTCCCTATGTCAGTTATACATAAAATGTTTGATTTCTTAAATTATAGCTACCTGGATCTGGCACTCCAGTCTTGTGAGGTTCTGATGCAAAGTATCTGGCCAATAAAATAACAAAACAATAATTATTATCAATATATTAACTATCTAATATTAGTGTCACACTTATTGTACATACTCTTTAATGACTGGTCCTAACTGAGTACCTAGGTCCACACAGTGAAACCACTTTTCCCACAAAACAGTGACTCCATCCTCACAAAAATACCTAAAAACAGACAGATGACATTCTTTGATGACCAAACAGAATTCATACAAGAATGGTGTAAGTTAAATATGACATTTTACCTAAGACCATCAAACTCATCTTTCAGTCTTTCTCTCTCGATTACCTACAATTGTTATATGGAATGATATGTAAGAAATTTAAAGAACAAATACAAATAAAAATGTATCATCTAGTTACTGGGGTAATAACTGTATTATTACAAAGATAAACAATCAACCTTACCAAGCCTATAGTATTTTCAAAACGTTGAGGGGAGTGATGGATTCTACTTGGTAATAAGAACATCTGAAATACAAAGCAATAATGACAAATGTAGATAGAGTGAATGGGAAATGAATGAAAGAGTGAATAAGAAAAGAATGAATGAATAAACAATTGAACATCAAAGGACAAAGTAAGTGCGTTCATAAAGGATCAGATTATGTTATATCATAGATACAAAGAAGGGTTTATCTCAGAGTTTATCTGGGTTTATCTGGTAGTACAAGGACCACATGTAGTACCTTCTTATTAGCTACAGTATTCTTACCTCGCCCTCTTTGATAGGTATATCCTTTGGAACTCCTTTTTCAAGCACTTTTAAAACCATGTCACCTTTGACTTGATAGAATAGCTTTGGGAATGTAAAAAATACTGACTTTAGAAACAATAACATAAGTAGAATGAAATTGACTTCAGGATCTTATTTTAGCACAGTACTTTACTACGAAAATGTTTTGCAAAAGATGTCTTTTACCTCTTCTCCTTCCTCAATATGGTAATCCTTCCTGACATTAGGTCCTCCGACAAACATGACCTTCAACTGTCCAGCACCATACCTAACCAATATATAAATGATAATAAATAGAATATTATCATGACCTTTCAGGGTCTTTCAGGGCACTTAATGGCCGAGGACAGGTCTGCTATATCTAATACAACCATCAAAACTCATAAATTTAACTATTATCAATATATGAAAGATAGATCTAGAGACTGCACCACATTGCAGAAACAAATTTATATCTTTTAGGATGAAAATACCCAAAATATCATTGAAAATTCTTGCTCCCATTTAGAATTTTACCTAGCAACTGCTTGCACGGCTGGGATCAATTCAAATGACCAGTTTTTGTGCAATTGCTTGCACGGCTGGGATCAATTCAAATGACCAGTTTTTGTGCAACTGCTTGCACGGCTGGGATTAATCCACATGACCAGTTTTTGTGACAAAGCAAGTGATAATTGAGTTAGCAATGGGTACAGTACCCAGAAAACTTTGAGCTTTGTTTCAAAGGCGCCATTTTTTAAATACAAAAGCTCTTACAAGCTTACATTTTGTACATACATAACCTACTTGGCATTGTAATTAGCTCTTACTTGTCTGGCTAATAGTATTCACTCTACGATTCTAACCAGAAAGACACATAAAGTATTACAATACAGCAGTTTTTTATACTAACATAAGTTTGTTGCACACTGGAGGTTTGAACGAGTCCTTCGAAGTTTCGATCCAATCCATCATATCTATTGGCTTCTTAAATTCGACAGTTTGTTTCTTTGACTCCTGACTTTCTATAGTTTCTGCTTCACCTTCTCGCTTAGGCATGTTTGGGTATTTTCTTAAATTTGCGAAATTCTAATAAGCTTCAAGTGTGTAAGCCGAAAAAAATCGATACGAAATCAAGTGATGCGTTTCAGGTGACACAGGTAGCCCAAAGTAAAAAAAATCCGCAACAACATAAATGATTCACAGAGATGACACAACGAACAAAGAAACAAAAATAAACAACCAGTCTGTATTTTTACACAATTTTATTGAAAAATATAATATTCTGTACAATAAGTCAATTCAACCATAGAAATCGAAGTCGTCATCGTCGTCAAGTGCGCCAGTGCTTAGCTGAAGATCGACCTCCGACTCAGTGTCCGAGTTGTTCCAAAAGCCTAAAAAAAAAAGACAAGACATAATATCAGTGAAGCATTCTTCGTTGTCCGTCATTTAAAATTCCTCCCGATGAATTCCTACTGGTTCTAGAGGGTAATTTTTAGTCTGGGCAAGTGTCTGGAGTTCACGTAATTTACCTATTACGCATGCTCAGTGTCATGATTTCCGAGTATGAATCCCACATGGCTTGGTCCTTCATTTATTATTACAAGAGCTCAATAGCAGCTTAGTCAATTGACTTGACAAATTTCACAAGCCAAGAAAAACATTCATTTGAATTATGCTTTGACTTTAATAACATGTTATTATTGTCTAAATTGTTTTCTACCACCATACCTGGTTTCCTGGTTGTGGTTGGTTTTGGGGGTGCAGTATCGGTTTTCTTCTGGCTGTCCTCCATTGCAGTAGGGATATACCCTCCTTCAAGGTCAGGCGATGATGGAGGTGATACTGTCTTGTCTGTAACGTCAGATTTACCAGTAGAAGACAGTCTACCACTACTACCACCCCAGCTATCCCCCAAATCTTCAGTACCATAGGAAAGCCCAAGATTATCGTTCCCACCAAATATGTTAAGCTTGGGTTTCTGTCGACGTGTTTTACTATTGTCTGATGCTGTCGGCTTAGCTGGAGAAGGAGAGCGTTGTCTTGGTGATACTATAGGGGGTGAGATACTTCGTGCTAAGGTGCGCTCCAAATCGTCATCGCCTTCACTGTCCTCCTCCTGTTAATGGATTCATGCGTCAGTTTACTGATTTTCTCTTTGTGAAGTCCATATACTAAATTCATACCAACTTTCCGTTCTCTCCCCTCTCTCATCCCTTCCTATTCTTCAGTTCTCCTATTCACCCATTCAATATCTCTTCCTTTCATTTTTTCTTTTCTTCCTTTCACCCACTTTCTTTTCTCTTACCCGAGATTTGGATTTTCCCTGCTGATCACCGCCTGACATCATCTTCTTGTATGCTGCTGTCTCAGTGAGAGGGATGTCGACTTCTTCTTCAAAGTCATCTTCGTAAGAAAGTGTACGTTCAAGAGAATGTAATGAAGCAGGAGGGTCTTCGTTCGGTCTACGATTGAAAGGAACACAGTGTCACATGACTTTGTACCTATATTTCACGTATCTAGTGTCACAATTTTCAAATTTCTTCTGAACTTCAGGGTTATCGAAAATCTTAGATGCGTCTATGGGCATATTATGTTCTCAAAACGTGCACAAATAACACGTTATTCTCTTGATGCCTATACCACGAAAATAAAATAAAAAACAGCATCAACGTCAAAAAAAACCATAACCAAATTGAATCTTACAACATCTCTTGTTTTCCTGAGATGGGTGGGGTGGATCCTAGTGTAGAACTCTCTTCAGACGTCACTGAATGGTTGTCATTTAGCACTTTTTGTTCTGAATCTTTTCCAGTATTTATCACCTCCTCGGGACTCTGGATTGCTCTAGTTGAAATGGAATCTCTAATAAGACCAGCTAACAGCGCCTGAAACTAAAGTAAGAAATGGACCCCACGTTAACTTCTTGTACACATGTATTCGGTCTTATAAACATGTGGACAGGGTTCGCATAAATGCACAATGAATAAATCATTGTTTACCGGTCTGATAGTTGATGAGAGGCAGATTACATGTATTGCTACCATCGCCCCAGGCCAAAAACTTCAATACCTCAGGGTATAAACTAATCCTAACTCGTAAGCCCAAGGTCTCTATTACAGCCCAAGGTTTTTATTGTGTTTATTAATAATACTGGTGAAAGACCAGCTCTAATACTTGTGCGTAATGAAATTGAACCTTCAGGGTCGATTGTAAAAAAGGTGCATAGCACAATCCCTTAGATAAGTGAATAGCTTTATCCGCCCTTCGTACTACCAGCCCAAGAGTAAAAATACAGGAAGCAAAGGACTTACTGTTTGATAAAAGTAGTATCTATAGTATGACCAATATGTTAGTACAAGTATTTTGTTTACAACCATATTAATACTAATTTTCGCTGACAATTAACACCGCGTTTTTGCCAAATAATTGCTTTAAATTTATGGACATTTCTGCGTAAAGGTTTTTTTTTCGAATCGTGAAAATAAAGACTCGAGAATATTAATACGAGTACAGAAGTACAACCGATAGACGGAGGGTCGACAATATATTGACTGACAAGAGCGTGGTTATTGGTAGTTAACTTCTATTGGCTTTTAAGTATTCCGCAAGTCGAACGGATTTACATAGAGATATATATATGTATAAAATATGGAATATGGCTTTATAACAAAACACCATTGGCAACAGCAACCGGACAATGGGTTGGCGACATCACGCGATAGCAATCTGGTCTACTACTGGAAGTTACTGGATGATATAGGTCATATCATAGCATATCACTATCGATATATTGATTATAGCCATAGTCAACATATCACTCAGTAAAGATCAATACACTTTGATAGGTCCATTGCTTCTATCAGACCATTACAGGCACTTTTTCATTATTTTCGCTCTTTTCTCGAAAAAAATCAAGGTTCCAATTATCGGACTAAATGTCAATTTATATATTAAGGTCAATTAAGTCATCCTTTGTGATTTTTTCTGCTGTTTAAGGACACTAGAATTGTCAAGTAGAATTACAAAGAAATGACTGAAAGTAACTCTCGTTACTACAGACTCTCGCTACTACGGACACTAAATTACGGTCCCGAGGGTGTTCGTAATAGCGAGAGTTGACTGTATTCACTGTTAAACAGGTTGAACCTAGAGGTTTCGCGTATAGTATCTCAAATTATTGTACACCATTATTGTAAAGTAATATAGAATTAAATATCTATATTTCTAATGTTTAGCGTCCGGAAAGAATGTTTGTGACTGTGCATCTTATTCTACACTGATCTTGACCGTTGACTTCCTTTGACGAAGGTTGGCGCTCTGTGCAAAACCTACCAAACACTAGCTGCGAGGAACAAAACTTATAACCCCAAAGAACATATTGACGATATTCAGAAGTTGAATATTCTGGAAGCATGTAGAGCCTTTTGCCGTCACGGCCATAGTCATGAAACCAATACAAACAATTAGTGTTTTATACATTGATAACGTCAATGCTTTGACCGGGTTGCTTGGCGAGGATCAAAGGGTGGACATGGACGAAATATAACACTTAACACTAAGTATCTATTACCCTTCGTGTGCGAGGCTGCGTATAAATAGCACATCAAGACTTCATTACTACACAGACACGATATCCCGCTTAAAACACATCATGTACACTCTAACTATTTCGGTGATTTTGCTTCTTTCTGTGCCCTGCTGGGGAGGAATCTGGGAACGCGGCCGACGGCTTCAAAAGAGAAAAAACTTTCTGGACCGTAAGTAACATTTTTTGATTTACCAAAAGCGCTCATTATTCATGCACTGAAAGAGAATTAGAGCGTATTTCTAGGTATTCTTGGTAATGAAAACAATTTTTTTATATATATATTCATATAAAAATTCTCTATCAAACTAAATGAATTGTCAATTTTACGATGGTATTGTTCAATGGTGAATACAAAGGGTGAAATACCTATCATTTTTCATGTTTGGTTAAGTAGCGTTATTTTTTTTACTAATGAGTATTGTTTGATGTATTTAGCGTCTGCCTTCTATCACAAATTTCATTCTTGATTACTTAAGACCAACAAAAGCTAATTAATAAGACTTTAAACTAGATTATTACGTGTGATATTGCATGTAAGATGCCTGCACACTCAAAGGCTCTTTTCGTCTATCAGTACTTATCAACTACAAGTACTTGTAATGAATATTAAACAGGTGCTATTTCTAAAAGATAATGCCAAAGTCACACGAGTATCGCTTCATTTAATCAAAAAAAGAACAGATCTGAAGAGGTTTTTTTTGATATATCAATAGTGCGCGTAACAAGATTACTTTCTGCCAACTGGCAATTCTCCAGGTCCTCCAGTGTCGTCCACTTGAGGCTTTTCGATCGTTCGCTGAATTATGCTCGCCTGGAGAGGGCCTCCTATGCTAGGACAACGTTTGTCCGCGGATTTGGGATTTAATTCTTTGCTTCCCATTAACACTTGACATAAGTATAGATGCAAGTATAAAACAAAGAGTTAGGGCAAACACTACACAAGCCGAGGAGGAGCCGTACTATAACTACAAGCAAATACTAGCACTTAATTGGAACTTGGCACCTTACATGCCTAAAATGACCACCACATCCCCCCGTACCCTCACCCTATACATCCCTAAAATGACCACCACATCTCTCCGTCCCCTCACCCTGTACATCCCTAAAATGACCTAGCATTCCCACATTTRATTCAAATTGCGAGTCAAATGTTAATGATACGGTGTACATATAGAGCTTTTAAATATCTCGGAGCTAAGCAAACACTTATTCGATGACTGCTTAAATATTTCAGCATTAAAACAAATTTCGCCATTCAAACATGTGCAATCAGGCTCGAACCTCGTAACCACATCCCCTCCCTATCCCCCATAGGGACAGGCATAAAGGATGAATAGTCCGTTGTAAATATTACTTACAGTGGCAACAATGAATACGACCATAATCTAGTCCAGACTGGAGTCCAGACTATCAATGATCGTCATGCTATATTTTCATGCGATAAGCTATCAGGAGCAGTACGAACATTGCGTTCAACATGCAATAATAGCAATTTCTTACACTGAAAACACACATACACTCTTACATGTAAACTATAGCACAAAACTAGACGGATGATCGCATTAGCTTGAATTGTAGAATTATACATATAACAATTTTGCAGGTACAAGTTCGCATTCTGAGTTACTTTCAGTACTTTTTTGATCATAATCTTGATCAGTGCTAGTCAAAAGGGCAGTCAATTAAATGTATTGACAGACAATATCTTGATATAGACGCGATGGCACGAGCAGGCATGGAATTAAAGCCAAATTTATTGATGTATCGACTTTATTAATCAGAATAAATAGATACGAGCTTCGATATGAGCTAATATAATATGATATGGCGTGTTTTGGCATTTATTCACCAAGGAACATGCCATACATCAATAAAGTATAAGTTTGTTGTATAGTTGAATCTCGATGGTGTGTCAGCCTTAGTAGACAACTAGTCTCATTAACTCATTAATAGTAACGCGTCTACAGTCGGACTTTCTGGGACCTCAATCACTGCTGTACGCGGTCTTACTCTAACGCAAAACACACACCAGTCTTATAAGATTTAAATACTTTTCTTAGAATGTTAGGGGATCATATTACAAAACAAAAACAAAAGCAATAAAACAAGAAACGCACACATACACACAAAACATAAGCATTTAGTCCTGTGATACATAATATTGCTTTAGAACCCCCGAGGTTAGAAGTTAACAAAAACGAAAAAAGACCTTCAAAGTCGAGAAGATTTTATGTCAAACTGCGAAACATTCTTGACGTGTTTGGCATAGTACTGCTTTAACATCTTTATACAAAACAGTCGTCATGAGTCGTTGTTTTAATATATTTTCGAGAGGACTAGTGTCAAGTACTTTTCTCATTGTTCATCTCTTTGTGTGGCCGCAAAGGTCTCTCGGTTATCATGGTTCCCAAGAACTGTTATTTTTCACGAAAACAACTTTAAAACATTTTCATCACAACAAATGTGAGAGTTTGTTGGTTTATAGGTTAACATTCCCTCTTTACGAAAACCAAGAACTGGGCTGAATCTGATATTTACCCTGGTAAGAAAACAAAGCCACAATAGTACTTCAAATAAAGGAACTTTAGAACGAGTTCAAGGGCATTGAAGGGGAAGGTCGAGAGATACTTTATCTACAGTGGAAATATTTAAAACGAGTGCATACTTTCGGTTCTTATATTGAAAAGGGCGATCTTCATTGACAAGTCTACATATAAGTTCGTTTTTTACATTTTTTTGAAGACAATCTGTATAAATCGACAATTAAAAATCAAATGAAAGATACCGGGAAACGCGGTAGAAGTCTTCCCTTTCTCACAACGCAAACATGGCTGTATTATTTCTCTTCTTAGCCGACTTTTCAATACGATTACAAACGATGGAAGCATGTGCGACTTTAATTGATTCAATTCCTTTCCCTGATCACTTGTTCCTTCATTTATAAATTCATTCATTTGCATTCATTTATTCAGTCTTTCAGTCATTTGACTGATCATTCAATCATTCATCGTTCGTCTGTTCAATTCATTCGACCATCTTCCCTACACTTAATTAACCCGTGGTTTTTATTGTTTAACATCTACAGGGTACCAACACGTTCCGTCCAAAGTACAGACTGCCAGGAAACTTATGACCAACTTCCTGGATCGTAACAGCAATAGAAGACTTAAACGAGAAATCGAAAATGGGATATTCTACGATGTCGTCTTTCTACTGGACTCATCGTCGTCCGTTGGAAAAAAAGAATTCAGAAACGCGGTCTTGGCGCTTCAAACGTTAATCACTAGAGCAAAAGATGACACCGTATATGCAGGCATTACCTTTGCAACCACAGCAAATGTTACTTTTACTTTCACCAATCCATTAGATGCCATGAAGCACATTGGCCAGATCAAATACCGACCTGGCTTGACAAACACACAAGAAGCTCTTGAGATTTGTCGAGAGGAACTGTTCCGTAAAATAAAGTCAGGAATGAGGAGACTTAGCTACAAGCGAATTCTCATTGTCACCGACGGTCAGTCGAACGTCAAAAAGCAACTAACTTTGTACAAAGCTTTTAAGTTGAAAAATATGGGAATCGAAATCTTTGTTATTGCCGTTGGTGGCTACTTGAGAGGGATCGCTGAGATTGTGGGCCTTGCGAGCTCCACCGATGCTCATTTGTACCGAGTGAAGAACATGAAAGATTTATTGGAAATTGTTCAGCTCATTCCGCCATGGGACTTGATTCGGCAACAGCAGAAAACGTGGTTGGAAAATATGTTTGAGGACGTTGATGACAGCTTAAAGTACCAAAAGATCCAACTATGAAACCCTGGGCGACAAGATGTACTTAAGCAATGATTACTAGCAGTCGACAACTTGTTGAATCCWTATAAAAAGCTACAACTATTTGAACATGTGGACGGGAAGAATATGGCCACACAAGATGTACTTAAGCAATGATTACTAGCAGTCGACAACTTGTTGAATCCYTATAAAAAGCTACAACTATTTGAACATGTGGACGGGAAGAATATGGCCACACAAGATGTACTTAAGCAATGATTACTAGCATTCAACAACTTGTTAAATTACAATTAGCTATAGGCTCACAACAAAGGACTGTTTGACCAAAGACCTCATGGCTCAAGACATGGGGGCACTTTGCCGTCACTCAGTCTAACAAATTGCCTTTAAAACGACAGAATGACTGAGCATTGAGTTATATAATAGACTTTGATGAGTGAAGAGCACTGGCAAATAACGTAAGCTATCCAGCTACAGTTTCTTTTCTTAAATAGGTCATTAAGTCAAAGCTATACATAGAATACGGCAATGGTTGAATAGAACAGGCGCAAATACTTATTATACAAACAATTAAATATGAAACATATGTTGTAAATGTCAATAACAGACCTCGACAATGACTCCTGATATGTCTGCATATACACAGCAATTTCAAAAAAGGTTGCCAGAGAAAATAGCGAAATGAATGGAAATTGCACGGCTGAAAGGAATTATGGATACAGAATATGAATAAAGCCATCCCTTATCTGCACACAAATGATATAATAGTATTATTAGTATTATTTTGATTCCCAAAAAACATCAATTGATACTGAATGCAGAGTATACTTGATGTAACCATAATTCCTTAGTATTGTGCAATTACCTCTCCTTTCGGTATTATAAATGACAACATTTGCAGGAATTGCTGACACAGTAGTTTGTACAGAGCAAGGTACAGTAATCATGGACCACATATATGTCAGTATACACAGTAGGACGTATACTCCATTATATTATTACTATTCCTATGTATTTAATATGATGGGAAAACGTTTAGTGATTGACACTCATGGCAGCCATGCTGTTGGTACTTTAACAAAAGATTTCTTATCAATATCTACTATTCATATCCCCTTCATGACAGCCAATTGTTTGTTTTCTGAATCCCAAGATAATGATTGAAAAACTTGCTGTTCTCCCTCATAAAATGACCCTAACATGAAGGGGTACCTCTAGCATACACATTTCCAGCCAATCATGAATCAATACAGATAAATAAGTAACAGTGACTAATGAGATAATATGTACCTTGTTTGTGTAAGCTGAGTTTAGTGCCATGAGCGCTGCAGCAAATAAACCAGATACTTCATCAACTGCCATGACATTGTATTCAACCAAACGAACCATGTGGGGCACCAAACCATCCCATAGTGGGGTTAGTGTAGGCTCAATAACATTTCTGTTAATACAATATGTCAATTAGAGACAAAGAGGCAAAGCAAAGCAAAGCAAAGCAAAGCAAAGCAAAGCAAAGCAAAGCAAAGCAAAGCAAAGCAAAGCAAAGCAAAGCAAAGCAAAGCAAAGCAAAGCAAAGCAGATCGG